AAGCAAAAGTGTCATTAAATTGGTTGAAAAGCGGCCTAAAAACCTGATTTTAATCCTTCACAAAAAGTACCTAAAAAGTTAAAACGTGAGGTAGTTGGTTACAATTGAATTGATCAATGGAACTTTTATTCATTTAATATCTGAATTCTCTCAAACAATTTTTTCGTAGTGAAAGGGCGAGCGAAGGTTTCAGTTCTACCACAAAGACGCTTTCGGTGAGTCTTTCCAAGTCCGTTCAGTTTGGACAATTGTATACCGTAAATTGCGCAACAGAAACTGAATGAATTCAATGATGAAAAACCGCATTAAATCCTCTTGCGTCTATTTGAAGTGTCTCATTCGAATTTAGTTTTTGTGGAGGAAACACCAGATTTACATACGTTTTTGCAGTGTCAACCAGCAAACTCTCACAACTTCAAAATAAAAAAAATTGAATTTACTTACAATACCTTTCCTTGCCATTTACTTACTGAACAGAGGTAAATCTTCGTACATTTATCAATCGTCGATGAGAGTGAATAATACTTTCCGTAAGATCATTGACTGTTATGGAGAAAGACACTGTTGCCAAACTAGTCCCGTTGTTTTTTCAAAAGTGTAGTTGCGCTTTTTTTTTTCTTAAGGGCTCTCCTATTGACAGGTGTCAGATTGTGGCAGATACTTGTAAAAGTAATGTTTCAAAGTTTGTTTGGAAGCCTTTTAAGTCACCTTTATCATTACGCAAATGACTTTAACTTTGCTTACCTCTATTTTAACTAACATTTACTCGCTCAAAAATTGTTCAGTTTATGGAAGATCTTGCTGTAATTACAACCCTAAATCATTTGGGTTCTTTTGGAAAGAATTTCGTCAAATTTAAGCTAAAAAAATAGAAATGTTATTCATCAGCCTAGGTCGGTCCTAGGTCGGGAAAATCTGTGCCCTCTGTCTTGAGTACCGCCCCCGGCCTATGGCTTCAGTCGGGCGGTGCTCAAGACCTCAGGCACAGTTTTTCCCAATACGGATCTCCCAGCTGGCGAATAACATATATTCATAAATTTTCGCCTATTTATGTTTTCCTTAAACATATAAAGGTGTTTAAATCCTGATAATCCAATTCCATTTCATTTTTATCGCTGAGACTCATGGTATTTTTATTTTGTAACGTACATGTTCAAACGCAACTAATTCAGTGTAAGGTGAGGTTGATTAAAAGTTTGTGCGCATCCTTAATGCACATATTTATTGCGCACAATCGTTGCAGTGAATTTGAAGAGCGCCTAACTCCAAGAGGCGTCATGACTATTTGTGTCAGTCAGGAGAATCTCAGGCGTGATTCTTCGTTTAATACTCTTGAGGTTGTTAGATGAATGTGGTCAATCTTTGCAGGGGCGAATCAGAGCTCTGACTAGCAATGAAACAATGAACTGCTCCTAAACTAACCTGAACTGATTAACAAGGATCTTTTCATTCAATATTTCATTTACTTATATTATAAAGGAATGAAAAATATGTATATTTTCGCCGCAAACAGAAATGAAAATAATTATATCGACAGTTTCACTGTTTGCAGTGATTCAGACAACAACTCAACTGACAAGTTGTTCAATCAATCGATTTATGCAAACAGTATTTCATTTTCGTCAAACGCTTAAACATTAATTCATATGATCAAATTCTGTTAAGCAAAGTACACAAATCTTGAAGGAAACTGCTTTGCATGGAACGTGAACTCGAAAGACTGGGAAAGAAAGGGAATCTGGTTTCAAAAAGGGTCTAAAAATCTTGAAATTTTTTTTAAAAAATTAAAATTGGAAAATACATCTAACTAGTAATTTACACGGGTTCTCTTATCTGCGGAGCATCACTGAGTTATTTCCTTCCCAAGAAGCTGAGGCGTAATAAGGTGTGTCAAGAAATCTTTCGCTGGAAAGCAAATGGAAGGTATGTTAAAAAGTATATCAGTATTAGAAAATCTGTATTGATCATACACGATTGCCTGGTGATCAAAGAAGCCAATCACGAGTCCTACATACGTAAAAGCTGATTGAGCTTACGGCAAAGGCACTTTAAAGGTACGTTATTGTATTTACCATAACAGCAGTAATATCTTAAGTTCTCAATAACAAAAACTAAGGTAAAAAAACTACTATATATCCGGTTAAAAGTCATGGAGTCTTTCCACCGCCTAAGGGTTCAGCTGATATCAATTGGAAATTCTTTGTAAAATTTTTGTTTCGGTGTAAGGTCACCTTAATTTTATCTTATCCTGGTCAGGTGGTATTAACATTTCCATGAAAGCTTGTATGGAGATACGCCAGCCACTGTTAAAGAATCAGCTAATTGCTGCTGGCGATTTTTTGCAGACGGACAAAGACGAAGAAATCCGCATCATGTAAAATTCTTAGCACTGGCTTACACTTTGAAATTGCTATGGCAGCTAGTTGGAGCATCTTTGTACAAGTTTCGTGATGTGGCTTGCTTCCGGGGCCAATCCACTGCAAATCAGTGCAAAAAAGATGCGGCTTTCCATTTTTCAGAGGATGTCACAATGGCATGGGTGGCCTCGCTTTGTATTTTTACCGCTAACTCTATTCCTGGGAAATCTTACATAATGGGATTTAGCAGTGGACATTTTACGAAGTGGCTCTTCCTTTTCACTGACACAAATTGTCAATAAACAGGGCAAGTAAACGAAGAGTTTAAAATTTCAATTGGCTGGAAGCAAACCAATTGGCTACAGACAAAGAGCAGCCACGAAGTTGTACTCAAGCAATCGAGAACAAAGTCATTAAGTCGCAGGGTAAAGGACTTTAACCCGAAACTAAACCCCTTAACCACTCGGCCACTCTCATTTCTACTCAAAATGCAGTCTATTAGGTTTAAACAGTTTTTTAAAGCACAAAATATCCAACTGCACAATATCGCAATATACATGTGATATATATAGTCGCATTATTTGAACTCCCCAATTGGATTATAAACAAAACTACCTCGTTGTACCCCTCGCCGACGCGACACCACAGTTTCCTTAGAAACTAACCCACTTACTCATCCGTTGTTAATTATAAAGCCTGGCGCCAGTGAGAGGCTAAAAGCAACCAAATTAACAGGTTAGCTGCGCACGTTGCGCTTCTCCATCCGTTTTGCTCTTCCCGCCCTATAAGAAATGAGTAGAAAGACTTGACAGAAAAAAAAGGCAGTTGGATCATAAATAACTTCATAAAATTAATCAGGAATGTCTGAGCCAGATAAAGAAAATTAAAAAATCCTTTCAGCAAAAATACTGGGAACGTATCCCCTGAACCAGTGCGGTGTCACAAACCCTCTTGGCTCTAAAGTCCTCTAAAGGGTATGCAAGCAAAAAATGAGAATAAAATAAATGACAGTTTATGTTCATGCCGCAGCAAAATTTTTCTCACCATATTTCGAGAGGAATTTGTTTCTGATTTTAGAAAGACTAACCTCTCATGAGTTCTGTTAAGAGTGCTAATGAGAACATGCAGAAGGGTGATGTAATAATGTAGTGGACCTTAGAAGAACGCGAGGAGGGCCTAAGAAATATTTAATTTTAATGCGTATAAACACGCCGTGTGGGCTCTTCTTTCAATTTCAGTAAAGCAATTCCGGCTTCGAGCTTGCACCGAAGAAATTTGGTTGTAGAAAGGTGACATGTAGATGAGTGCTGAATTTCCCATGTCTTGATGCCAAACGACATACTGGAAAAGTCTCAGACAGTCTTATATTGTTATCGCCTCTTCATGAGCAACAGAATATCCCTCATTTGCTTCAATTTCTTTTATCTCACATCAATTCTATTTTTTTAATGAAGAAATATATTAAGTCACTTGCAATATTCACTCGGGCCTATAGTGCACAATACTATCATGTGCTTCCATTCGATTTACTTTAATTTAATAATAATAATATTTTTAATAATGGTAATGATAATAATGTTATAATAATGGAGTGCTTCTAAAGCGCAGAAATCCAGAAAGAAAGTTCATTAAAAAGCTTCAAACTTCCTAAAAGAGTCAGTCTTTAAAGCTTTTAGTGGCTCCTATAGGAGGCGAAGCCACGTATGTTGCTTAAAAATGCCAACTGATGAACTTCTGCGAATAAACAGCGACAAAAATCTACACAGTCTTTGAGCACACACAGCGGAGGACCAATCACCATAAGTACGGGTGTTCTCGAAGGTGGTTCGGTAGCGACATCACCTTTGCTGATAGGTGAATACGAACTCCTACGATAAGCTAAAGGTTCTGACAATCACAACGGTTCCATAGCATCAAGAGATTTGGAAATTAAAAGGAGAATCTTTAAAACAATTATTACGCTTTATACCAAACTGGCCTAAAGTATTCGTAATAGAAAAGCATTTTACGCCGCTTACAATATTTACATCGTTATTCTTGTGCAATTTCTTTTCAAACACCTAAGGTTATGCTGTTATTTGGTATGTTTCCTATAAAATTGAAATTCTGGGCTACAATTCATCTTAATTTAAGTATTGATTTGGTACACACAGCGAATTCCTGTTTTCTATAGGTAAAATTTAAGTCTGATGTGCAAATGGAATCATATACACATGGTCTAGCTTTTTATTTACATGGACAGTTAACTTACAATTCGCAACTAAACACCAACCGTCCTTCAACTGCTTTTTTTACTAACTAAGGGCATTCATATCAGACTCAATTGGACTAAAATGAATTCGAAGTTGGATTAAATCTTAACGGACATGCAAAGTCGAATAACAATTTGTACCTAATCGTTCACTGTCCTTCAACTTCTAGCGTATTGAAAGCATTTATTGAAAAGAAAACAGCTAGCCTAATTCATTGTGTTTTTCCTTTAATCCATCTTTGTTATTGAAAGCTAATCCAAAACGTAACGTACCTATACAGTTGATTGGCAACAGACAAAGAGGCGCTACATGGAACTGTCCCGTTCCTACATTAAAATTAAAATTAACAGCATTCTTAATCGAATGGAAATGGAAATAAATATTTAGTAAATTAGTTACTGTCTGTTTGTTTTCCAAAAGTCTTCCTTAGTGTCTTTAAAACGTTTCTTCGAAGTTCTTGAAGACGCCAGCAAAATAAAAATGGATTTATGGCAGAATTAAGAAAAACCACGGTGATAGAAAAATCGTACTCGGTCGTCCACTTCGCCCGTTTTGAAATTGCGAAAGTTAACAGAGCATACATTGGCAAATAACAAATAACGAAAAAGATAAAAAATACGAAAGTGTTCATGGCACTCTTCTTCAGTCGAACCATACTAATACCGTTAATATTTCCGGCTACATCTTTACTTTCTACTGTTTGCTGTTGAGCATGAATCTGTAATTGATGATGACGGACAATGAAATAGATCCCGAGATATGCCAGGAAAAAAGTTAATATGCAGATGACAGTTGTCTGAGCCATTATGAAGAAGTATATGAAGGGAACGAGGTAATATAAAGCAGACGAAACGAAGTTATACAGCCAAATAAAAGCGATCGAAATTTTCACACGAGTTGTGGTAACCAACGTTGCTGATCGCATATGGAAATGAAGGGCTAAAAATCGGTCGACGCTTATGGCTGTCAATGTCCACAGAGAAACTCCACAAATAGGGTACACTATAAGTACCATGAGACTGTTTAAAAAGGACTCCTTAGTAAACTGGTGAGCCAGGAAAAGTGGTTGAGCAATGATACCAACGAGAAGATCTGAAAATGCAAGGCTGGAGAGAATTTCCATGGAACTTGACCGAATCCAACGACTCTTTGAAGCAGCAATGAGAACCAAAGCATTTCCCACGATGCATATTAAAATCAGTGGAACGTTCAGAATACAATTTACGATGACTAAAGTCCGCTCTGAGTGCGAATCGCTCGCCATCTTGAAAAGTCAACTTTGATAAATCTACTGTAGCTCCTATCAACTTTATTTAGCTTCTGTAGATGAAGTAGTCATCTATAATTAAAAAACGTCATGTAATTTCCAAGCAAATTGTGTAAACATTGAGTTTATTAATTGGGAACATCAGTAAAGATCAATTTGAAGATGAATTGATTTTTCAACAATGCGACCCACTTCTATTACTTGCCATGATCGTGTACCAGATTCATTTTCCTTTAAATGTTTTCAAGTACCTACACAACTTTAATTCCTGAAAAGGAGACAAATAATAATGAACTAAATGCATCTCATTATAATATTCTAAAGAAGGAGACGTGTTAATGGGAAAAGAGCCATATTCTAAAAAAAAGGCAAATAGAAGCAATTTCAGCTGCTTCGCGGCTCGTTAGATTAAATTATCTTCACTCTCAGAAATTCATTTAGTTGTCGCTATTCACTGGATGCCCCACAACTTTAAAACGTGTTATCACGGATCAGATCAGCATAGTCTGATCACAGCTAAGGGTTCTGGTTTGGTTTGAGTGATGTGTTTTCTTGACTCAGGGACATTTTGTTATCTTTGCACGCTGATTTGTTTGTTCTGCGTGCATGCAATTGATTTGTTTCCATCCCGATGTCATTCTCGACTGATGTTACTCCTGTTCCTGTAGCAATTCTCACGCAAAATTTTTCTTTGAAAGTGGAAGGGTATTCTGTGACTTCAATCAATATGATGAAACTATTATTACATTTTAAAAAATAATATGTTAAACTGAAGAACACATAATGGTGGGTGGGGCTTTGCGACAAACCACTTCGTGTGTGCTTCTTCAAAAAAACCAAACATTTTAAAGAAATATATAATTATTCAGAATTTAAAAAAGAATTCAGAATTTGAAAAAAATTGGAATTAAAAATATCTATGCCATACGTAGCAGGTTGCTGCAGTGACTTGCAATTGGTTTCTGCGCTTTTTGGAATGATTTGTTGTCCGGTATCTTATCGCAGGTGTTCAAGGGCTTTTCGCCGCAATTGATCACATGGCGCAAAAATAAACATCTCGCTGGATTTTAGAGTTATTTGAACACTGGAACATCTAAATAAAGGAAACATCGATTGAATCTCATTGTTTCGGACGGCCAAGGCGCACATTTTCCGTTCCGCCGATCATAAGATCTATTGTTTCGAGTTCTTTTGATCCTCAGATGCAAAACTCTAAATTGCAAAATAATCTAGCTAGTAAAATTATGTTCATACGAAACACCTTTTCTTTTTCCGCTAAATAAACAAAATTGCAATAACTTTATCGTAGAAAAGAGCAAAAAGACAAATAATAATTACAAAAAAATTATAAGAAGAAAAAACCAATTGGAAGTTTAATAGCCTAAAGCATACGCATACGGCATTGGCATACATCTCTTTTTCTTTATTCTAAGAAATCGCTTCAAAAATTCTAAGCAACATCGAATTAATGCTCTCAAGAAGTTGGAAACAATTTTTGGATGGAAATTCTGTAAAAATCGTTCTGGTGTCGGGCATATATCAAGAGGGCAATTTTGAATGCCAATAAATTTCTCTTGGGCTTTCTTGAAAGTTTTTTATTTCACTTTTCGCTTTTTTCTGTGCCAACGTTATTGAAATTAGGCGTGTGTAGTGAGAGCTTTCTTCGCAATTACTCAGCTCTTTCCCGCGTATGTTTTGTGGCGTTTGGGTGTTTATTGACCGACAGATCTCCATTTCTTTTTTTCAGCATCTATGACTGTATGCATAATGAAGTGCGCCCACCTCATATCCTCAGGCATGGACTCGAGGCAACAAATGTAAAAGATGTCAGAATCTTATCGACGTTAGAAAACATTTTATTGTCGTATCCATTTTTGGTAAAAATCGTGTTTATTACTATCGCTGACATCTTTCATATGACAATTGTTGCATATGGTCCATGAATTCCCTTGCATGTCTTATTGTGGTACATTTAAAAACTGGCAGCGTTTAAGCTCCGTTTTATCAAGATGGTTTTGAATGGTTGCATTGGCAGCTTGCGGGATCTTACTAAAGAAGGTAATCAAAAGGAACTGTGAATAAGTCGTGAATACATTACGTTTGAATGGGTTTTGAATATAATTAAATTCGTCTCCACAAAAACATACACTTTTACATGTAAACATAGGCAGTCAATGGCTAACTCTCGGATAGAGTTGAAACTACTTAGAATTACTTTAAACTGCTGGGGTGATGTTGGGTGAAAAGTCAGAATTGACATTTCGGCTATCGTTTGACCTGCACCTTAAACTTCACTTTTGCCATAAAAGCGAATACTATAGCAGATTTGAAACGTAAAATTTGTATGAATGCGCTGCGGGTTGTGATTTGAACTCCATTCCTCCTCGTTTTCTTTGAATAGGATTCCATTGGATAGCGATTGAATCCCCACAAAGTTGCAAATGAACGGCTGGCTGGTTGGCTATCAGTTTACGGGGTCCTTTTGAATAAGATCTGACTTTTGTTGCCATCTCGTATTCTCAATTTCATAGCTAATGTAATCTTTCTTCTCTACAAGCCTGTCTAATGTTTTCAGGAGATGTGACCATCTTGTTTTTGCTGTTCACAGCAAAACCATGCAGGATTACTCAGCTGACGTATTACAGCAAACAAGTCTTTATTGCTATTATCAAAGTAAGCTGGTGACCCTCTTAGATTTCTTAATACTCTAAACCCTTCAAAATAGATTAATTTATTTACATAATTATCTGATTTTAGGTCACCTGCAGTATATTTGTTGGCTTTTGTTTTACACTTTCTTAGATAGATACAGGCGGTATTTTGAATTTGTTTAATTTGTAACTTTTTTAAATTGTAAAAGACGTTCGGTGCTGATTGTGCTACTCTCCTCTCTTGACTTTTTAGTTCTCACTCATACCTTGTACTGTGATGGACAGGTGTTGCTCTGCCTTAATTATCAGCTCGAGTTTTACCACAGTAAATAGTTGGAAATGATAGGAATCAAAGTCTTTCTCCATAAATATACCTAAAGGTTTGTTTCCTTCTCCTGGTACAAAAGTTATCACCTTTTTCAACATTTTCAGTCGTATCTGGTTCTTGTAATAGAGTATCTATGACACCTGAAATTCTCTCTTCAACTTCCCATCATACATTATCACGATTGTCTTTACACTCAGTGACTAATTGCTCGGTGTGCTTATCATATCTTTGAGTAGCTTCAGAAATAGTTATTTCAGGTACAGGATCAGCTGAATGTATTTCAGCATCACCATTGCTTATGAGTGTGAATTACTCTGATGAATTCTTTCCATTCCTTACGTTGATTTGCAAGAGCAACATTACCTCGAGTATCGGGATTATCGAGCCAATTTTCTTGAACTTCTATGAGCTCATTTTGCAACAATTCACTTGTCTTAAAAAGATATTTTGCTGCTTTTAACACTTTTCTTGGTCTTACACTCTGAAATTGATAATGACGCTTCTAACTCAACCTTCGTTTAAGTTTGATGGAGATAGTTTGTGATGTATCTGCATTAATGGAATACGCGAATGAATTAATCTTTCTTCTATAGGCGTCAAGTTTAAACATTGTGGTTTCACAGGGAATCCCATTTTGTTTGCTTTAGAACGGACTAGTAGCTTCCCATTACTTAGGTTTGATTGGCACGTAGAGCAAATCTATTTCGTATTATCTATACTAGCAGTAGTAGTTTTACATGCTTCGAGCAAAGATTCGGAACATTTAGGATATTTGTTTGCTTCACACTTTCTGACAGAGGACCGATACCATAATTGATCACAATAAGTACATACATATTCAAGACCATACTTAATGTTATCGTGAAAACTTTGAATGACTTTTGCCATTGTTTGCATCTCTTGTGTAGAATCTTGACATTCAAATTAAAGTTTCTCATCAACTACTGTACAACTTGGTCTTTTGCTAACTGGCTGAAGCAGGTGATGGTCACATGGGTTCAACCCAGACATCAAGGATCTCTTTCTATTCTGTGCATTTTTGTTCACTTCTTGCTCATGCCGAGGGTTACTCTTTTTGCTTTTGGCAAATGCCTGCCCATGCAGTTCTCTGATATGATCAGGATTTTGATTCTTTGCGTTTGTTAAATGCCCGTCTTTGAGATTCTGACTGCGACGAGTATTAATCGAAACTTCCACGAAGAAAAGTCAAATTATATATCAGCGTCGCGGATAAAGTGGATAGACACGTATTATTATTTCAGAGAACCGATATCAATTGGTCTGTCATTGACATATCGCTTTGTTTCCATCTGGGTGAGTGACAAATTTGCATATTCTGACTCTTAACAATCGTCGGTCTACGCTTCGCGTATCAACGACTGAAAAGCACGGAAAAGGGGGAAAAAAGCCGGGAAGAAAGCATGGAGAGAACAGTTAAAAAGTTCTTCAACGCTTCTTATTTGTGTTGTGTTGTTCTTAATGCAAGGCTGCTTTATAACTGACAACCTTCCCGACGGAAGGATCCTGGATTAACATATCTATGGAGCCACCTTTAAGAGAGTGTCTCTGTAAGAGCGGTCCGGTCGATTTTGCTTGAGACACGGATTTCGCTCGTTTCTTGTGTGTTGCAAGACATTCATGTACCTATACTAAAACAACAATCAGTTTGATCGGATCTCTTTATTTTTCAGAGTTTTACGGAAGTTAAATCTCACTCGAGCAAAGGCTTGCCGTGACACTTTTCAAGACTTTAATTTCATACAACTTTGGAGGACAATTTACAAAAAACTAAGGAACTCAGCAAAAAACAAATACTACATCCATGTATATTAACTTTATCTTATCTATCGAGGCGACTTTCGTAAACATCACGTTTCAATCAAGGAAGCAGGAAGACTTGAATGACACCTTATTGGTTCGCCTAAATCACAGACGCCAAAACCGATCAGATTCAAAGTAAATTTTTGAAAAAGTGAGGCGTTCTAAACTGAAAAAAAACTTTGCGGCCCGACCTTTACGAGAACTTTATAACTGCGTGAACTTACCTAATTTTCGGTAATCTACAAGTTTGGCCGCCATTTTGAGGGACTTGTCAACATGAAGCGTAACCGATATAAATCAAGCACAGGTAGATCTAAAACCGTCAGAAATACATACGAAAGCAATTCAAATGAACTTTAATTTCAATTCAAGCGGCAAAATTTGAAACTGTTCGTTAAACTTGCCATCCCCATGCGACCATTTCTTCCAACAATTAAAACACTACGAATAGTGTTCGAATTCCCCTCGTCGATTCCACCGTAAGAAATAACCTGTGCCACCCAAGCTTCGACTCGAATGTGAAGTACGAATCAAATAACACAACTGCTTCATCTTCGCGGCAATATCACGCTGGTATTTTGGTACGACTGTCTGAATGCAATGACGAAGTAAAACATCATTTGATAAGCTGCCACCTGTCTAAAGAGGTCTTAAGTGAAAATGAGCTAATCTTGGCAAGGATTGGCCTATTTCACCTCGCTCAGGAAGATAAACAAAAAAAATGTGGATTTGCTATAGGTATCGCCACACTTTGGGGAAGTTTTGGAGAAGTGCAAAGGTAACATGTCAGTATCCCGATCATAGTGGTGTCAGGAAGCGTATCCAAGGCAGAGATGTAATTACCTTGCATATGTCTCAGGACATTCAAAAGCTGTTTGGAGTTATTATTCCAGTTGAATCAGGTAGTCTTCAGTAACATTTTCTGTCATACATTTTTGTCACGTGACATATTTGCTCGAAAAGAGAAGAAATTCTTTATTAGATGAAGGGTACTTAAGTACACATCACGTTGAAAAAACATAGATCTATGTGTAAGTGCTTTTAATTGCAGATGGAAATATGTACAATGTTGCTTGGTTGATAATCAATAATGTTTTTGTAGAAGGTTTAATCACCTGATACACTTATTTATGCGTACGGTTCACAATTATTTGCGGTCAGTTTTCCTCAATTTGTATGATTCTCATTAACCAGTATGATTAAATTTGCAGACTAAAACACCCCTTATTTGATTAAGAATAATACAAGTAAACAGTGCATCACGGTTTTCAATTCCTGATGGATGGTACTGGGCTTTACTTTAACTGAGAAATTTTCAATCGCTTACCTCAGCTCTCTGTGTCCCATGCCGTAAGAGGCACAAGAAAAAAGTTGATGATAGTGAGTCTTGGCTGAGACAAGAAGAATCAGAGAAGAACCTACGGTCCCCCGAAACGCCACTTTTAAACACGAGACAACTAAGGTAAATTGAATTAAGGGGTATTTGTTTTATTGAAAACTATCGTTTAGGTTATAAGATACGCAAATAACTCTCCCCACCGATTTTTTCTTACATTCTGTTAATCAAAAGTTTCAATAATTATAAAGGCTTTCTTTTTGATCGTCCTAATAGTAACAGTTTCCAGGATCCAAGGGGAGCAAAAGAGAGAACAATTTTCTGTGTAGTTAGGTAAGGCGACATGCCGGCTTTACACTTCTTCCGGCGTGATAACGATAATGATGACAACAATGGGTAAAAAGCACCGTCCGCTATTGAGGACGATTATCATAGTTATAAACAAATCTCACTTATAGTCCTGAAAAAAATCTCAGGGGGTCCTTTGAACCATCCACTTCATCTCGCCAGAAGTCAAAGTTGCCTACACTCCTTCTAAGGTTCGTGCGATGTTACGACGAATTTTCAATTCCGGTGTGTTGCATGCGCGACTTTTGATAGGAAAAACCTGCACGCGCCATAACTAAAAAGAACGTCTCAGTGGAATGAATCAAATCTCTATCATTTTGCACACATTCTTGGGAACAGCAAAAATTACTTAGTACAAACATTCTAAGTATAGTGTTCATTCCGTGCAATGGGGCATAAATAAAAGGTTCTGGTGGAAAATGACAGGCAAAAAGGTTGTATGGGTACCCCGGTTAAAAATATATTGATAACTCTATTCATTAATACCAGCTCTAATTTAAAGGAGAAAGTTATGAGAATAAAATAAAAGTTGTCTGTACCACGAAGCATGCCTTCACTGTTTAGACTGATAGTCCTAAAACTTTTTAAGCATGTATTCGAATATCTTATGACGATAAGCCCGCCACCCACCCCACCCCGCGCTATACTGTTTTCACTCAGCGACTGGTCAGCGGTCACGTTTATGAGGTAAACATACCGATCGATTCCTGATCACTGTTCTTGTCGATCGGAATGTCAAAATACCAGCGTGATATTGCCGCGAAGATGAAGCAGTTGTGTTATTTGATTCGTACTTCACATTCGAGTCGAAGCTTGGGTGGCACAGGTTATTTCTTACGGTGGAATCGACGAGGGGAATTCGAACACTATTCGTAGTGTTTGAATTGTTGGAAGAAATGGTCGCATGGGGATGGTAAGTTTAACGAACAGTTTCAAATTTTGCCGCTTGAATTGAAATTAAAGTTCATTTGAATTGCTTTCGTATGTATTTCTGACGGTTTTAGATCTACCTGTGCTTGATTTATATCGGTTACGCTTCATGTTGACAAGTCCCTCAAAATGGCGGCCAAACTTGTAGATTACCGAAAATTAGGTAAGTTCACGGAGTTATAAAGTTCTCGTAAAGGTCGGACCGCAAAGTTTTTTTCTGTAGTTACCTTTTCTATGGTACCTACTTCCTAGCTATGTTAGTTGGATCAGTTTAGAACGCCTCACTTTTTCAACAATTTACCTCGAATCTGATCGGTTTTGGCGTCTGTGATTTAGGCGAACCGATAAGGTGTCATTCAAGTCTTCCTGTTTCCTTGATTGAAACGTGATGTTTACGAAAGTCACCTCGATAGATAAGATAAAGTTAATATACATGGCTGTGGTATTTGTTTTTTGCTGAGTTCCGTAGTTTTTTGTAAATTGTCCTCCAAAGTCGTATGAAATTAAAGTTTTGAAAAGTGTCACGACAAGCCTTCGCTCGAGTGAAATTTAATTTCTGTAAAACTCCGAAAAGTAAAGAGATCCGATCAAACTGATTGTTGTTTTAGTATAGGTACATGAATGTCTTACAACACACAAGAAACGAGCGAAATCCGTGTCTCAAGCAAAATCGACCGGACCGCGCTTACAGAGACACTCTCTTAAGAGGCTCGCTCATACAGGTCCATTTTGGTTAGGATTGCCATCTCTCCTTTTCAATTTTACTCAAACAATGTAGAATTAGAAAAAAACAACTCGGGAATATTTGAAAAAATGGATAGGTGGATAGTAACCCAATATTCACAAATTTAGTGGTTAGGAGTCGTGCCAAAAGCTAATAGCCATGTCCTGCAGATGTTCAAGTTGATTAAATTATAGTCACCAAAATTAGCTTCACTTGAAGTTTGTGAAATCATTGTTTGTTTTGGGCTACCAAGGAGACTGCGACTTGTATAATGCAACCTCGTCATACTAATAAACCCTATGCGTATTGAGAAATTAATTACACTCATTTAATTTTATCATTACGAAAACGAAAACAAACATCAAAAAAATGAACTGCAACGCCCGTGAATATGTTCTGTTTTTTTTGTTTTTGTTTTCACCCTTAGTCTGAACCAAATTCTTGGAAAAAAATGAAGAAAATTTTGAAAAAAAAGTTATTTCTTTTCTTTTCTCCATCGATCCCTTAATGTTTCGACGATATAATATTGTCACTTCAATCTGCTTGAAACGTGCGGCATCTCAGGAAAGAACAAAAAAAAATACGCCTTTAGCTCATACATCAACAGTTTTTTCCCATTAATTGTGCTTTGACTTTCTCAGCTCAATAACCGAACATTAAATTGTTATTATAGGAAAAATTTCAGCATTTAAATCTGAAAACAGAGAAAAACACCTGTTCTTATCATGATATAATTTATTATAAAATTAGCTAAGCGAAGTAAGAATAGGAAATAAATTTTTGTCATGTTTTGGTGATAACAGTAGCTCACAATTTTTGTATTTAAATTTTGTGAAGGTTCTGATTGCAGGCGTCTTATATTTTTCTAGAATGTCAAATACGTTTGTGTTTTATTCAGGAACCATAGGTCCATCCCACTCGATCACATCGTGTTATGTTTTCTTGTTTTTAAGTTGAAAGTCCATGGGGATTTTAACAAGTTATGAGCATCATTGTGCATATAATCCGCCTTATAGTTACTTACACGCCAATGTGTTTTTTTCAATTCATCCATGTTTGAACTTGCTGGGATCATGAAAAGAAGAGAATATTTATGAGATGCACAAGTCATCTCGACGGGTAATAAGTGCGTTGAAATATTACAGCGAATAAATTCAACTTACTTTTCAAAAAAGATTTTAGGAATAAAAAATAACACGAACTAAAAATTTTATTTTTTGATTTATTGATTTATGTATTATTTGGTGGGTTATTCCATCTCAACAATTCGCCCAGAAGATATGGTGCTTTTCGAACATCCGACGACGTATTTATTGGCCGCGGGGTGAACAACATTAAAGTCAAGTTGTATACATATTTAGTTTTTATTATCTGGAATTGAAACGTAGTCACAAGGAAAGACAACGATGCATAAGTTGTAACCCGAGTGTGAACAAGTTCACATCGTCGCATCAAGAGGCTGGCTGTATTGAGCCCCATCTTCAAATTCTAGCTTTCCACCGTATGTTTACAAAACAATCTTCTTACAGTGTGTAAGACTTCCCCTCGTAACTCACTGACCCGCCAGCAATACAAGAATGGGTTAATTGACGAGTTCGTGAACATTAAAGTAGTGAAAAAGTTGAACTCTATTTTCCACTCTATGAAGGACAATCCATAAAGGAACAGTATCACATACATTGGAGAATAACAAATGATCAAAAACATGAAAAATATAAAAGTATTAATAGCGCTTCTACTTAGACGTCTCATATCTGTACCATTTCTTTCCAAAGGAGGGTGAATTGCTATTTGTTGAGCTAGAATCTGGGTTTGATGCAGGCGAACCACACGGTATATCAAAATATAACAAGATGCTGAAATTATTAAGCAGATTACAGTCACAATACCCATGGTAAATTTGTATATTTGTTCTATCCAAAGATAGGAGGCAGAAAGGAGTACGTTGACCAACCATATAGTTAGCGCAGCATATCTGACCCGAGATTCGGTGAACAAAGAACCATATCTCATGTGATATCGAAGAGCCATAAGTCGATCCACACTTATCGCAGTTATCGTCCAAAGCGTCACTGAGCACGCCGAACCCATTGCCACTGCCGACAGGTTTTGAACGAATTTATCTCTCGTTAGAATACCGGCTATGAAAATCGGTTGAGCCACGAAACCAACCAATAGATCTGAAACAGCAAGACTACAGAGCAGGGTCAATGAGTTTGGATGAATGGAAGAAATCTTCTTCATAGCAGCCAGGACTAAAGCATTCCCCACGATAGATGCAAGTAACAACGGGCAATTCAGAATGGCAATGATTCCGCGAGTTGTCTGGTCGTAAAAAATTGTCGAATGAGCCGTTGTCTTATTTTCTTTGTGGACGGTTAAATTCATCTTCTCGATAGTTATCACCAAAAAGGGCAATTAATATTCTTTTTCTTCTTAGAGTACGTTTCACCAAGCCTGTATAAGCAACAGCTTAATCACAAATTGCAGATGCAATTTTGTTTGCTCCGTAGGGAACACCCTTTTCACATGTTGACGTTTTAGTGACACGTTTTCCCTTGTTTCCCTTTTGGTACAGGTTTAAATTGCATCTTCTTGTTCGCTAGAAATAAACGTTTTGCCTATACGTTACATAGAACGACAGTATAACGATTATACATCTCTAAAATTATTTTTTAACAAGCTATTTGCCTCTTTTACCCAGGGAAATTATTCTAAGTTACTTCCTTGCCAACTGATCACTTCGATGTTTTGTCTATCAACAAACCTTTTCACATTTTAAGTCTGTCCATATTTTGCATATTTAGTGTCGGTTTCGAAATCGAATGTTAGAAATAATTAAATTGTTGGAAGGGTACTTTAAGCTGAGAAATCCTCTCACTGAATTATCTAACAAAGTTAAACTTAAATTCGTGAGCTGTTCACCGATATTGATATGTCAATACTAACCTTGAAACAGAAGAAAAAGAAACCATCAAGCTTTTGACGGAGCGCCAGTTACGATCTAAGCTAAATAATGAAAAATACACATTATATAGCACCTGTCCAAAGTGAACACGAATTAATGAAAGTATTTGGAAGATTTTCAATTTACGCCAAGGTAACCAAAAAGACTGATATAAAACTAGAAAAAAAATCAGCTATTTCTTCGAGGTCTTCGATGCATGCTCAGCCTGAAATGTTTTTATTGGTCATAAACATCCTCTGATTATTTATTCTAAGAGTCATCGATGTCAACAATCTAGAAATTAGACCAGAAACCACAAAAATGCTCTAACTGAGGAAGTTGAAGAAGACAATACAAGCTGTCAGAGAACCTGAGGAGTTAAATTGTATTTTGGTGGGTAAATTTACATATTTAATTGATAGACAAAGGCTAGGTGAAGTTTTAATAACTGGTTTTTAATAACAAACGTGTTCAACTTCAATAGCGTGTCACAGGTTATTTTCTTCAGTGAGAAATCTGTGATTGGGACTTCAGAGAAGAAATCAACTCATTGGTTTTACACAAATAATTTTCTTTACGCCGAGGATTTTAATTTTGATGATCCATATTTTTTTTTTCTTTGACAGCTAGATACCTTAGTTTAATTATGTAATAACTTCTCTTCAGGTGACACTTTCGTGGC